ATATTTATGTATAAGGCTACTATCTCCTATGTTTTAGGAAAATGTTAGCATTCTGTATGCAATTATCTATAATGCATGTGTGTATGTCTGTGGCTCACGCCTGTAATCCCAGCACTTTAGGAAACCGAGGCAGGTGGATCACCAGGTCAAGAGATTGAGACCATCCTAGCCAACATGGTGAAACCTCGTCTCTACTAAAAATATAAAAATGCAAAAATTAGCTGGGTGTGGTGGTGGACACCTGTAATCCCAGATACTGAGGAGGCTGAGGCAGGAGAATCACTTGAACCTGGGAGTCAGAGTTTGCAGTGAGCAGAGATTGCACCACTGCACTCCAGCCTGGGTGGCAGAGCGACACTCCCATCTCAGAAAAAAAAAGGCATGTGAAGCCATGGCAGCAAACCACGATGGCACATGTTTACCCATGTAACAAACCTGCGCCGTATATCCTGGAACTTAAAATAAAATGTATTTATTCATTCATTTTTAGACAGAGTTTCACTCTTGTTGCCCAGGCTGGAATACAATGGCACGCACGATCTCAGCTCAGTGCAACCTGCACCTCCCGGGTTCAAGCAATTTTCCTGCTTCAGCCTGCTGAGTAGCTGGGATTACAGGCGCCCGCCACCAAGGCTGGCTAATTTTTGGTACTTTTAGTAGAGACAGGGTTTTTCCATGTTGGCCAGGATGGCCTGCCTCAGCCTCCCAAAATGCTGGATTGCAGGCGTGAGCCACTGCACCCAGCCAAAAATAAAAGAAAAAAGAAAAAGCAAGTGTCTGAGAAGCTGAGGCAAGGAGACTTTTCAGTTTATTCTCTTCTATGTTTTGAATTTTGAGACAAGTGAACATCTTTTCTATTCAAAACATGAATCCTTTCTAACAGAGAAAGTAGTGAAAGCACTAGACATCACTATCAATGAGACTTTTAAAGAAGACTTTAAGGAGCATTGATTGTAGTGTTTGCCTAAGGATGTCAATTTAAAATGCAGAAAGCACTCTCCTAAGGTAATGTCCGTGGCCAACTGGGGTTTAAGATAAAACCTCCAGCGCACATTAGCAAAGATAATGTACTCTGCCGATCTGTTAAGCCTTTCAAAGGTGCTGCCAATGTTGATGGAGGCGCTGATGGAGAAGATGAATTAACAGTTTGCAGAAACTTACACAAAATGTAAGCAGGTAGGAAAACAATTATGTGCAATGCAAAGAACCTGATATCATATGCAAAAATAATGTTGTAGGAGGCTATTAAAACAACATAGGGCCCGGCGGAGTGGCTCATACCGCTAATCTCAGCACTTTGGGAGGCCAAAGTGGGTGGATCACTTGTGGTTGGGAGTTCGAGACCAGCCTGACCAACATGGTGAAACCCCGTCTCTACTAAAAATACAAAAATTAGCCGGGTGTGGTGGCGGGTGACTGTAATCCCAGCTACTTGGGAGGCTGAGACAGGAAAATAACTTGAACCTGGGAGGCGGAGGTTGCAGTGAGCTGAGTTTGAGCCACTGCACTCCGGCCTGGGTGACTCCATCTCAAAAAAGAAAAAAGTAGAACGTGATGATGATGTAGCATTAGGAGCAAAAGCAGGTGATATGATTCTATCATTACACATTGTATGCATGTATCAAAATATACATACCTCATAAATATGTACCATTACTGTGTATCAATACAAAATGTAAGTTATAAAGAAAGTACATAAGATCATATGTGAGAAAATCTTAAATGTTAATAGAAGAATGACAGTATGAGTGATTTTAAATTTCTCTTTATTCAGCTATAATTCTAAATTGTGCCCATTGCTTTAGCAATAAAAATAATAATATAATGAAGTGTTTTAAGAAAAGAGGAAACAAAATTACCTTTTTTTTTTTTTTTTTGAGGCAGATTCTCACTCTGTCTCCCAGGCTGGAGTGCAGTGGCTCCATCTTGGCTCACCACAACCTGCCTCCAAGGTTCAAGCGATTCTCCTACCTTAGTCTGCTGAGTAGCTGGGATTACAGGCATCCACCACCACACCCAACTAATTTTTGTATTTTCAGTAGAGACGGGTTTCACCATATTGGCAAGACTGGTCTTGAACTCCTGACCTCAGGTGATCTGCCAGCCTCATTCTCCCACAGCGCTGGGATTACAGGCATGAGCCACCATGCAGAGCCACAAAATTACTTTGAAAATTGTTCTTAGAAGGTCTGTACTCCTGCTTTGATGTATTCATGCTGCTTTGATCTCTGAGTTTGGAATCTGTTGAGGCAGTTCTCTCAGTGCTTCATGCACAGTTACGTTCTGGCCATACACAGTTAGATGGCTTTACAATTTGGTGCACAGGTAAACCTGGGTTTGAATCCCAAATCTACAACTACTAGTTAAGTGGCCCTGAGGCTGTGACTCTACCTCCAAGCCTCAGTTTTCTTATCTGCAAAATGTAGCTAGGAAAGAGCACATATTTTACAGTTTCATGTTGATTTAGTGAGATGACCCTTCTTACTTGCCCAGTAGTACATGGTAGGTAATGAATAAGGCTCCCTGTGAAGAGAAGAAGGAGCGATGATGATGATGGTAGTGGTGATCATAGTGGATGTGATAGCAATGGTCATGATGGTAATGGTGGGGATGGCAGTGGATGTCATAATGATGGTGGAGGTAGTGATGAAGGCAGCCATGGTACTGATGGTACTGACAGCAGTTATGATGGTGGACATGATAGGAATGGTGATAGTGATGGTAAAAGTGGTGTTGGCGGTGATGGTGTTGATGGTGATGGTGGTAATGGGTGGTGGTGATGGTGTTGGTGGTAATGTGATGGTGGTGATGGTGATAGGCATGATGGGGATGGTGGTGGTGGTAATAATGGTGATGGTGGTGATGGGGGTGGTGGTGATGGTGATGGTGGTGGTGGTAATAATGGTGATGGTGGTGATGGGGGTGGTGGTGATGGTGGTGGTGGTAATAATGGTGATGGGGGTGATGGTGATGGTGGTGGTGGTAATGGTGGTGATGGTGGTGATAAGGGTGATGGGGATGGGGATGGTGGTGGTGGTAATAATGGTGATGTTGGTGATGGGGGTGGTAATAATGGTGATGGTGGTGATGGTAGAGATGATAGCGATGGTGGTGCTGATAGTGATGGTGATGATGGTGATAGTGATGGTGATGGCAGTGATGGTAATAGTGAAGTGGGACAGAATGGTTGTACTGATGGTGGCAAGGATGGTGGAAGCAACAGTAATGTGATGATGATGATGGTGATGACAGAGGTCATGGAGATCTCTGAGATCTCCTTCCCTGACCCCAGTTGTAATCACAACTTTGCATGCTAAGGACTGACCTTTTATCCAGTGGTAATGAGAATTCCTAAGAGTCCTGTGAAGTCCCCACAGGAACACAGTAGTGGGCTAAGAAGACCCATCCCATGGAACCCCTTATTCCTAAGCAGGCTAGCTGCACATTGTGCATTGGAATCCTACTTGCAAATTGAATTTTGCTGCAGGTGCTGCTCTCATCCCTTCCATTACTGTTTTTCACTTTTCTTTTCTTTTTTTTTTGAGTCCGAGTCTTGCCCTGTCACCTAGGCTGGCGTGCAATGGCGCAATCTTTGCTCACTGCAACTTCCACCTCCCAGGTTCAAGAGATTCTCCTACCTCAGCCTCTGCAGTAGCTGGGATTATAGGCGCCTGCCACCATGCCTGGCTAACTTTTGTATTTTTAGTAGAGACAGGGTTTCACCATGTTGGCCAGGAGTTGGTCTCAAACTCCTGACCTTGTGATCTACCTGCCTCGGCCTTCCAAAGTGCTGGGATTATAGGCGTGAGCCATCACACCCGGCCCATTACTGCTTTCTAAAATCAATTCTGTAACTTCCACTATGGGCCAAGTGCCTTAAGAACTTTGTGGCTATTTTCTTTTTTTTTGCAATGTTTAGAACATTTTATTAAAGTACAAAATTGTTGGAATTTAACTAATAGAAAAACATAGTAAATATTTACAAAAATGCTGATAATATCACTTAAGCCACGCACATGTAATAATGTAGACAGGTCTTTAACAAGTTTACAAATTGGAATCTAATAGCTCATTGCTGAGCATGGTGATCAATGTAACATTTAAGATCTTGGAGCGAATGTTGTCCCCTAGTCTTCTGCAATCCAGTGCCCTTTAGAAATTGGTTTATCTTTGGGAGATTCAGACTCAGAGGCAGAACTTTGTATTATCTTATTGAAAGCTACAACCATCTTATGATGTAGGTCTTGTTTTTTTTTTTGAGACAGAGTCCCACTTTGTCACCCAAGCTGGAGTGCAGTGGTGTGATCTCAGCTCACTGCAACCTCTACCTCCCAGTTCAAGCAATTCTCCTGCTTCACCTTCCTGAGTAGCTGGGACTACAGGCATCCGCCACCACACCCGGCTAATTTTCGCATTTTTAATAGAGACAGGGATTTGCCATGTTGGCCGGGCTGGTCTCAAACTCCTGACCTCAGGTGATCCACCCTCCTCAGCCACCCAAAGTGCTGGGATTACAGCATAGGATTACACCATGCCCAGCAATGACGTAGGTCTTATAATTGTCTCCTCAGTCTTCAGATGAAGAAATTGAGGTTCAAAACAATGATATCATTTGCTCAAGATCATGCTGCTAGGAAAATACAAAGCTAAGACTTGGACAGCATCAGCTTGGGTTCAACGCTCGTGTACAACCACCTCACCAAGGTCATAAACTCCAGTGTCTCCTGGGATCTAGACATGCAACATCAATACGTAAGGCCACTGGTGGGAAGTAATAAGGACTGCAGGAAACTGGAGACCAAAGACTATCTAGAGACATCCACACTCATTTCTTCCTTAAGCACAGAACCAGGAGGAGACCACCCACTTGCAATCTCTGCGGTAGACAATATTACTTCACTGAAATCAAATTCTGTAGTGGGAGTCTTGTGTCCCATTGGTGGTTATACTTGATTACTTTGTGTATACCTCTCCTCTTTCAATGTTTGTCTTCTTTTTAGGTTTGTGTTGCTCTATCCTTCAACAAGTCTTCTCTAAAATATAACTGGAACATTCTCAATGAAAAGGACCACTGTCCCGATAAGGACATTTCTTTGCTGAGGCCTCATTGGAAACAAGTTTAACTAAAGCAAGTATTTTGAAATGAAAAGGGTGGTAAGATTTTTCACAACCGCCAAGGCCTCGAGGGATGCTGATTTGGAGGGGATTTTTGGCCATAACCAACAGTAAGAAAAGAAGTTCACATCAGAGAGAAAGAAGGACAGACACAGAGAATTGAACCAAGGATCACACGCAAAGAAACTCACTACAGGTAGCAACTGATGTTGTATAATTACAGTTGTTTTCGTTTCTGTGTGTTGCCTGGGTGGATGTTACCCACTAAGGAGGACCAGCCGCCTCCAGTGGGTCGTAACCAGCTGGTTGAAAAAGTTGACCTGTTAATCTCTTTGCTTTGGTCATGAATAAAGCACGAAACCCTTCCACCATGATGCTGGTGATGACTGTGAGCCTGGCATTTAAACCCATGTGCTGATGTGTATAGTATGGGTGTGAGATGTATGAATAGTTGTGAATTCCTTGCCAAATTAGGGCATATTTGCCATATTCATGCAGGATCTTACCAAGATTCTTCTAATACAAATGAGACAAAAATTTCAGTATACCACACTAATGAAACCAGTTGAAAATCTTATCAGCCAAGTCTGTCAGTGTGATTCTGTTAAAAGGAATTTTTACCTCGCCCTACAACCTTAGGAAACTCACTCATCTTTTTAGATCTTGTTTTCCTGGTTTTCTATAACACGTTGGTTGTAAGCTATGTTCATCTTAGACTCTTCTTGAACCTTGATCATTTTAGTTCACCTTAAGCCCCTTTACACACCATCCTCGCCTCCTTTTTGGTGTGTGATAAGGCATCCCAGCAGGTTCCACACCATCACATAACAACACACATACTCCTTGCCCAAGCAGAAGTGGAAAAATGAATGTGAGATAGAAGCCTGCATGGCAGCTTTCAAGAAATAACATAAGAGGACATGTAATGAGGTCTCCTCAAAAATGTTTCCAGAACCAGAATGTTTTTCTTAGACTCATGGTCACAAGTCAAAAACATTTCCTACTTTCTATAGGAAGATATTACTTACCCTAAAGATGAAAAGTCCTTTCCTCTCACTGAGTCTGGTTGCTTCTCAGAGCTGACAGAAGAGGAAGTACGTCGCTCCTTATCTTAAACTCCAGTTTCTCAAGGAGTCTTGTGGGTGGACAAGGAGGTTGCGTTGTTGTTTGTGAAGTTTGCAGAATGCAGAGTCCATTACTTCTCTTTTCATTGGCATAATTTAAGTGGTGCATTATCATGGCGGACCATATCAAAGTGCCTCAGAAAATGAACTGGGAAATGGTGATGGTGTCCAGTGGGAAGCCCAGATAATGGAGAGTGAAGCCAATCACAAGGATACGGGTTCAGCGTCAAAGAGGTCCTTTTAATTTAATTTTCGCTACCAGAGTTGAAGGCAAGAGTGTGGAGTCAGCATATCTTTGTATTGCTGAATTTCCTATTCCAGTTGACGAATTTAGGGAAATGATTCGTCCATACTCTCGGTCTTTGGGATGGTACCATTTAACAGAATCACACTGATAGACTTGGCTAGTAAGATTTTCAACTGGTTTCGTTAGTGTGGCATTCTGAAATGTTTGTCTCATTTGTATTAGAAGAATCTTGGTAAGACCCAGCGTGAATATGGCAAAGATGCCATAATTTGGCAAGTCCAAATACATGTCTAGCAATTCTCTCCTAGTCTTGATTTTATTACATGTATGAAACATGGTCTTACTATGCCTAATGTTAACACCTTCCTTTTTCTGTTTCCTACTTATTTATTATCATACTTTAGATTGTGGGGCACATGTGCAGATCATGCAAGATTGTTGCATAGGTACATTCATGGCAAGGTTGGTTTGCTGCCTTCTGACACTTACACCTGACATTTCTCCCAAGGTTATTCCTCCCCACCCTCCCTCCCCTAGCCAGCCCCAACAGACCCCAGTGTGTGATGCTCCCCTCTCTGTGTACACGTGTTCTCAATTTTCAACACCTAAGAATGAGAACATGTGGTGTTTGCTTTTCTATTCTTGTGTCAGTTTGCTGAGAATGATGGTTTCCAGGTTCATCCATGTCCCTACAAAGGACACGAACTCATCATTTTTTATGGCTGCATAGTATTCCATGGTGTATATGTGCCACATTTTCTTTGTCCAGTCTGTCATTGATGGACATTTGCGTTTGTTCCAGGTCTTCGCTAGTAAATGCAATAAATTATTCAAATAGTCACATAGATATGACTGTAGAGCTGAGCAGGTAATCAGCTCCTCCATGTACTCAAAGTGTTTGTTGCACATCTTTTAAATGACAACTGAAAGAGGGGTTAAGCTTGCCATTGTCAGCTGTACTGAAGTGAAAACTGGCTGAATGTGAAATTGAAATGCCTAAACCAAAAGGACGTCTCTGAAATTCTATGTGCTCATAGCCCAATTCTGTGTGCGATAGATTGCACCATGGGGTGTAAGAGTTCCCCATCTTTATGCATAGTCTCTCCCATGCTGGCCCTAATCTTGGCCATGTGACTGGCTTTGGCCAATGAAACAACAGCTAACAGGATGCAAAAAAAAAAAAAAACTAGCCTGCTGGAGTGTAAGAGGCTGTGTGGAAGAAACCAAGGCTTGATAGCCAATCATTCATCACTTTGGTTGTCAATCTGCCAGTCACCACATGTGTGAGTAAGGCATGTCAGATCATCCATTCAACCAGCATACCCACCACAACACATGAATGAAACCAGCCCAGATCTGAAGAAATGTCCACAGAATCATGAACTAAATGAAATACTTTTTAAGCAAAAAAAAAAAAAATTTCAGTGGGTAGGGGATGGTTTGTTATACACCCAAGGCCAACTGATAAACTTCCCGAGGTGTGCTGGAAGGAATTATTTGCACTCATGTTGTCAGATATCATGGTTTTTCTTTTTTAGAGCCCAGGCTGGAGTGCAGTGCCATGATCCTGGCTCACTGCAACCTCTGCCTCCCAGGTTCAAGCAATTCTTCTCCCTCAGCCTCCCGAGTAGCTGGGACTACAGGCACACACCGCCACACCCAGCTAATTTTTGTATTATTAGTAGAGACAGTTTCACCCTATTGGCCAGGCTGGTCTCGAACTCCTGACCTCATGATGTGCCCCCCTCAGCCTTCAAAGTGCTGGGATTACAGGTGTGAGCCACCGTGCACAGCTGGATTCATCTTTAAAGAGCAAGAACAGCCTTTTACCTCGTTGCCTTTCTGAGAGCAAGATGGGTCACCAGCAGCTCTACTGGAGCCACCTGCAAAAATTCAGCCAGGGTTCTTGCTCTTGTTGAGTCTGTTCAAACTGGCACTGTTTGATCCGGAAATTTGGTCTCAATATGTGCCGCCAGTGTTTCCGTCAGTATGCGAAGGATATAGGTTTCATTAAGTTGGACTAAATGATCTTCAAAGGATTATCCAAGGCATCTACCATGAAAAACCATGATAGTTCTTTGTACATAAAATAAACATTTTTAAAAACCAAAAAAAAAAAAAAAAAAAAAAAAAAAATTAGCAGAAAAACCACACACAACCAGACATGGTATTATTTAACTTTACCTCCCAGCCACAGCTAATCGAAACATGGATTGGTCCATGTGGCAAACAACAACTTATGAGATGGCCAAGAAGATAAGTCTACCTTAGAACAGTTATGTATATTGAACATTGACTGACGAATCTATTCAGTCTGAGTCTCTCTTGGGGAATCTGAGTAAGTCCCAGATAGGGACACAGACAGCAGCATGACTCATGAGTCAATAAATAAATTAAGAAGCAACAAAAGCAGAAGCCATCGGATAGGAGACTCCATTGGCAACCTTCCTCTCCAGTCTCTACGTTGAATATCTCACCTTGCCTTGGTAAAGCAGTGTGGTACACCGTCACCATTATCTGTCGCCATCACAGAAACCAGCCCATTTCAAAAACCAACGGAGTAAATGTTCAGCCTAGGAACAGGTTGATACGGTATAGTCACTTCTCAAACTTCAACAAGCATTTGGCAGAGCACTTTGGGCAATTGTGAAAAACACCTGCTCTCCATCCTTCTGCAACTGGCTCTGTGCATTGAGAGGTTTCCCTGTACGTTCTGCATCACGAGGCATTTGTGTGCTCTCCTGTGAAACTGGATTTGACCAGTGTTAGCCCTGGAAGAAGAAAAGAGAGCTGGAGCAGCAAGAGATGACAGTGTTTATTTCTCCAGCTTCCTCTTCCCTGCAGGCATTGCACCTGTGGGCAGTGGTTGAGTTTTTCTGCTGAATTCTAAAGCTTTTTCCAGTTCTTATAAATGCTCCCTCCCTTCATGCCTTCAAGCCAGTGAGTGGTAAGAGGTCACCCACATGGCTAATCCCAGATGCCCCACCATCCTCTGTTGATTTCCCTTAGTCCTTCCCCCATCAAAATAAATAGTCCTTTCATTGAATTCTGATTTAACTCATCTCAGTGGGTAGCTGCTTCTTCCTACGTCACCAATGAATACACACTTTGGTCCTGATTCTGCTTATTCTAACTTTCCTATCAACTGTCATAGAAGAGAAAACTCTTATTTCAAGAAAAGAAGAAAATATCATTCTTTGACCAACATGTGGAACTGCAGCACAAAACACAAATAACAGTTCCTCCTTTGCCAGTCATTTAAAAGGAATTGTTTCTCCACAAACTTCCCATGCCTTGAAATAGTGGTACTCAGTATGTGAATTGACTGGAAACATGGCACAGGTGGTCCACCTGGAAAAAATGGGATATAGGAATCAGTTAGAGCTTAGAGTCTGTGCTCTATCAGAATGGCAGCCCACCACCATGTCTGGCTAATTTTTGTATTTTTAGTAGAGATGGGGTTTCTCCATGTTGGTCAGACTGGTCTCGAACTCCTGACCTCAGGTGATCCTCTCACCTCAGCCTCCCAAAGTGCTGGGATTACAGGCATGAGCCGCTATGCCCAGCCAATATATCCATTTTTGCTCTCCAAAGATATTGGTATTATAGGCAGATAAGTGGCTAGGCTTGGAGGAGTCAATGGGAGACATCCACCCTACTTAGGTATTCATTATTGTTTATTCGGTCTCCCCACCCCACCCATTAGAATCTAAGTCTTTTGAAAAGAAGGACAATGTATATCTTCTTTAGTATCATAGCCAAAAGTCATAGAGAGTAGACGCTTGTGAAATATACATGGGATGAATGAATGATTGTGTACAAAAATCTCTCTAAGCCTATTTGGTTTGCTCACCTATGTTTCATGGTAACTGGGCTAGGCCAGAGGTAGTACTTAGGCACTTTTGTTAATCAATTGGGATACACCCTTACAACACTTATGAAACTCCTACCTGCATACATGGTTGATATACTTGCAGGATTTGAGACGTTTTCACTGCAAGGAAGAGAGAAGACAGAATAGTAGAAAGGATTTGTGGCTTCAGCCGGCTTAAGTTACAGGGCACTCTTAAAAGAAGGGTTGGTCCCAGCACTTTGGGAGACTGAGGCAGGTGGATCATGAGGTCAGGAGTTTGACACTAGCCTGACCAACATGGCGAAACCCCCGTCTCTACTAAAAATACAAAAATTAGCTGGGTGTGGTGGTGCATGCCTGTAACCCCAGCTACTCAAAAGGCGGAGGCAGGAAAATTGCTTGAACCTGGGAGGCAGAGGTTGCAGTGAGCCAAGATCATACCACTGCATTCCAGCCTGGGCCACAGAGTAAGAAGACTCCATCTCAAAAAAAAAAAAAAAGAAAAGAAAAAGAAGGGATGGGAGGAAAGGTGTTGCAGCTGTGCTCCAGCTCTGTGGCCTTGGGCCCCAGGAGACAATGGCAGCATTCTTGGGACTTCACCTGGCCATGGATGAAGAATCATCTGCCCTGTGATTTTTAATGGGGCAGACAACAGAGGAAGGCATTTGGGGGACTTTGATGAGGACATCAAAGTAAAGGAAGATGGAAGATGTGCATCTTGAGCAGGTACCAGATACTACTTCAGCAACACCCACACATGGTTACAGAGGAATTTTTCTGAAAGATGGGGAAGAAGAAGAATGACAACCTGAGATCTTATGGTCAAAAAGCAAAACACATGAATTCAGACAATTGTCTTGGGAAGCCTGGTTCTGTAGTGTAGGCAGGTGAAGCTTGAAGGTTCCATATTTTATATAAAATGGATAATATTATCAAAGCTGAGAATTATTAATGAAATAATGCAACAAAAACAATGATACAACAACAATTGAATATTGATTATAAAAATTTGGGCGGTAAATATGGCAAGCACTATGATAGAATTTCAAAACAGAAGACATGCCCTTTCCCAAGGTAAGCATTAAATATGTCACTGTTTGACACTTCTCATATTACATTTTTTTAGAGACAGAATGCTTGTTCCCAGGTGCCACAAGGAAAAATTAGCATTCAGACAAAAAGATTTCTCAGCAAGGCAATTTTACTTTCTGCACAAAGGAGGCTCCCATTAGCCATCTTGCCATAAGAGTACAATGAATAAAGGAAAGGCAGGCATATTTATTCCTTATGCATTGGGTCTTTACTGCTGTGTCTGATCTCCATTGGTTGGAGACAGACCTCACAATCTAAACCAAACCCGATTGGCTAACAACTTAAAACTTTTCTAAATAGGTAAAGACAATGGGGAACAAAGGAAAAGTGGAGGCCGGGTGCAGTGGCTCATGCCTGTAATCCTAGCACTTTGGGAAGCCAAGGTGGGTGGATCACCTGAGGTCAGAAGTTCAAGACCAGCCTGGCCATCCTGGTGAAACCCCATCTTTTAAAAAAAAAAAAGACCGGGCGCGGTGGCTCATGCATATAATTCCAGCACTTTGGGAGGCCGAGGCGGGTGGATCACGAGGTCAGGAGATTGAGACCATCCTGGTCAACAAGGTGAAACCCCATCTCTACTAAAAATACAAAAATTAGCTGGGCATGGTGGCACACGTCTGTAGTCCCAGCTACTCAGGAGGCTGAGGCAGGAGAATTGCTTGAACCCAGGAGGCGGAGGTTGCAGTGAGCCAAGATCGCGCCATTGCACTCCAGCCTGGGTAACAAGAGCGAAACTCCACCTCAAAAAAAAAAAGAAAAGAAAAAAGGAAATATAGGCTGCAAGCTGGGACATGCCTGTGAGCACGTCCAGCACAGATATCTTGGTTAAAGTACAAGGACATAGAATGCACTTATACCCTTATATCTAACAGCTACGTAGGATAGGGCTTAACAGTTACTAGCAAAAAGCAAGAAGGCTTTGAAGAAAGTCTTTAAAAGAAGCTATTGTTTCTAACATTTATTATTATTCTTCTTTAACAGGAAGGGAAACTTTGAAGAGGAACTTTTTACTTTATGCAAATTTAAAAACACTTTATTTAAGTTATATTTGGAAGTATAAAAACTATTGCATTCCAGACTCAAAAAGTAGAGTGGTCATGGAAAACTATCTTAACTCTTTTAGGAAGAGGAAGGCTTACTGGATTGTCTACAAAGCTTGAAGCATCATTTGAAACAAGAATCTTTTTAATGCAGTTCAAAGTCTCATTATAATGAGCCTTAATCAAGTATGTACGTGATTCATACAACTTTCTTTTCTGTATTTAATGGTCATGGAGAGAGGAGTCCACTCTGTGGTGGTCTGCACTCCAACCCCCCATTAGTCCCCATTTTCCTCTCCAGAAGCTGGTGACACACCACCCCTCCATTGTGGGGGCAACACATAGGCAATTATTGCCTAATGCAGGCATGAGAAAGGCTGGGTCCCTTAACTCAAAGTGGGACCAACCCTGAGGTGGGACCACACTTTAGCTCTTCCCTGGGCTCTGGCTGCTGTTGCTTCCAGCTGAGACCACGGCCTTGCTCTCCACCTTCCCAAACCCTGATTCTCTCAATACACCGTGGGCCCCACAATCCCCATCTCAGGCTCTGCTTTTAGGGCACCTGGCCTACATCACATATTGCCATTTTAGAAACAGTAACATCAGTAATAGAATCAGCACGGTTATTGTTACTAGAAACTTAAACCACAGGATTTGATATGGGTGATTCTGCAAAAAGATGACATTATTTATAAAACCAAGAGTGGTCACTTTGGGAGACAGAATGTCGGAATAATGTTCTGTTGCTGTGCAGTAACTTGTCACACTCTCTTTTCCAGATGTATTTGTTCAACAAGCATCATCAACCCAATCAGTGACCCCAGTCTCCTGCTGGGTAATACGCTTACCGAGATAAAGCAGACAAGAAACTCATCTGATTATGACCCAACATGCTGAGTGTTACAGATAAAAGATCAGTAATAACTTTGGCACAACGAAACAGAAATGTTAAGTCAGGAGGTAACTGGATGACTTAAAACTGATGATGGAAAGCTTTGCTGTGAGTGAAAATTAAATAAACTTCAAATTACCTGGGTACAGTGGCTCACACCTGTAATCCCAACACTCTGGGAGGCTGAGGTGGGTGGATCACTTGAGGTCAGGAGTTTGAGACCAGCCTGGCCAACATGGTGAAACTCCATCTCTACTTGTAATACAAAAAAATAGCCGGGCACGGTGGCAGGCGCCTGTAATCCCAGCAACTCGGGAGGCTGAGGCCTGAGAATTGCTTGAACCTGGGAGGTAGAGGTTGCTATGAGCTGACATTGCACCGTTGCACTCCAGCCTGGCGACAGAATGAAACTGTGTCTCAATAAATAAATAAACAAACTTTAAATTACTATCTTTTCTCTTAGAGATAGAGACGGTCTTGCTCTGTTGCCCAGGCTAGAATGAAATGGCATGATCATGGCTCATGCAGCCTTGACATCCTGGGCTCAAGCAATTCTCCCACCTCAGCCTCCCAAGTAGCTGGGATCATAGGTGTCCACCACCATACCTGACTACTTTTTTTTTTTTGGTAGAGACAGAGTTTTGTCATGTTCCCTGGGCTGGTTGTGAACTCCTGGCTCAAACGATCCTCCCTCCCAATCATTCATCACTTTGGTTGCCAGTCACCACAAGTGTGAGTAAAGCATGTCAGATCATCCATTTAGCCAGCACACTTGGACTCCCAGAGTGCTGGAATTATAGGTGTGAGCCACTGTGCCTGGCCAAAGTACTATATTTCTAAGGATGTAGTTTTTACAGTTTGGGAATGTTTGGGCAGCTTCTGTATAGTCATAAATGTTTTTCTTCAATCAGACAATAAGAGAGACATAGAAGCTTCTTTCCAGTGATAATGCACTACTGATTTTAAAAGCACTCCTATAGTAAGTGTTTAAGTTATAGCTTGAAGATGTTTGTCGCAGTGTTGTATACAGTAGTGAAAAGTCGGAAATGACACAAGCTCATGTTCAATACGCTATGACACAGGTACACCAGAGATCACCAGACAGCCATCCACAAACAAGTTCTAAAAGGGTTAATGAGTTGAAAAGATATTCATATTTTGACAAACAGAAAAAAGAAATACAAATATTTCAATATATATAATACATATATAGTTAGTTAATGGTTCTTTTTTTCCCCCAGAAGTTGATTTTGAAGATATTATTGATGAATTTACTTCCATTAAAACCAGGAAAGCGCTGGGCATGGTGGTGTGCACCTGTAATCCCACATACTCGGAAGGCTGAAGTGGGAGAATGGCTTGATCCCAGGAGGTCAAGGCTGCAGTGAGCCAAGATGGCGCCACTACATTCCAGCCTGGGAAACAGTAAGAATCTGACTCCAAAAATAATTAAAAAGTTATTTTAAAATCTTACAAAAATTTAAACACAAACAGGAAATTAAAATTTTAATAATTTTGATTTGGGGATACATAAAACACTTAAACAATGTTTTAAATTCTAATATACTTTCCAGTTTTTCAATATTTTTTCAGCTAATGTTTTGGGATGCAAAGCATGTTGTACATGGTCAGTAAATCTTTCATGAGTGAATGGATCTGTGTTTTCTTGCACAACATAAATTATTCAGATTATAAGAAGGCAAACTTATTTCATGTTGTATTTATGGGATTAGAGAACCATGCAGTTTATACTGTGTCTCCTCCCTCCCTCTAGTGGAGATGAATGAGAGACCACAGGGGTAAAAGAATGGCAAGTGTAGTTTGATGATAGTAAGAAATCTAACTCCCTGGCCAGGCGCGGTGGCTCACGCCTGTAATCCCAGCACTTTGGGAAGCCAAGGTAGTCAGACCACTTGAGGTCAGGAGTTCGAGACCAGCCTGGCTAACATGGTGAAACCCCCGTCTCTACCAAAAATAATGATTTTTAATCCGTAACAATTGTGCAAATTTATGACGTACAGGTGGAATTTTGATACATGCATACAATATGTAATAATTGAATTGTTGATGGTCATAATGTGACCTCTGTTTGTCTCCTTAGTTTAAACGAATTTAAACAAGAGACACATAGCAAAGGAGATGCAGCAGTGGGTAGCCTATTGCAAAGGAAAAGGAATATTTTGAAAGTTAACAGACAGGGCCCAGTGGCTCACACCTGTAATTCCAGCACTTTGGGAGGCTGAGGAGGGCGGATCACCTGAGGTCAGAAGTTTGAGACCAGCCTGGCCAACATAGTGAAATCCTGTCTCTACTAAAAAATACAAAAATTAGTTTGGCACCTGTAATCCCAGCTACTCAGGTGGTTGAGGCAGGAGAATCACTTGAACCCAGGAGGTGCGGGTTGCAGTGAGCTGAGATCGTGCCATTTCTCTCCAGCCTGGGAGACAGAGCAAGACTCCAACTCAAAAACCAACAAATAATAATAATTAATTCTTCACCAGACAGTCAAATGACCTATGCTTAATGCTTTCCAGTGACAGGAAGTCATCCCCAAAGCAGCCTGTTTGATATAGACAGATAATAGATAGTTAGGGCCAGACGCAGCAGCTCACACCTATAATCCCAGCACTTTGGGAGGCTGAGGGGGGCAGACCACCTGAGGTCAGGGGTTCCAGACCAGCCTGGCCAACATGGTGAAACCCCCATCTCTGCTAAAAATACAAAAATTAGTCGTGTGTGGTGGTGCATGCCTATAATCCCAGCTACTTGGGAGGCTGAGTCAGGAGAATAGCTTGAACCCAAGAGACAGAGGTTGAAGTGAGCTGAGTCGTGCCACTGCACTCCAGCCTGGGCAGCAAAGCTAAATTCCATCTCAAAAAAAAAAAAAAAAGATGGATAGATAGATCTATTTATTTACCTAATTGTATTTTTTTAGAACCAGTTTAGATTTATAGAAATATTGAGGTGATAGTACAAAGGATTTTCATATATTTGGCACACAGGGTCTGCTTTTTTTTTTTTTTTTGAGACAGAGTCTCGCTGTGTCACCCAGCTGGAGCGCAGTGGTGCAACCTTAGCTCACTGCAACCTCCACCCTCCGAGTTCAAGTGATTCTCCTTCCTCAGCCTCCCGAGTAGCTGGAGAGGCATGCACCACCAAACCCAGCTAATTTTGTATTTTTAGTAGAGAAAGGGTTTTGCTATGTTGACCAGGCTAGTCCTGAACTCCTGACCTCAGGTGATCCATCCCCCGTCAGCCTCGCCAGTTTTCTTTTCCTTTAGTGCTGTTTGTTTTTGAGATAGGGTCTCACTCTGTCACCCAGGCTGGAGTGCAGAGGCACAATTACAGCTCACTGCAGCCTTAAACTCTTGGGCTCAAGTGATCCTTCCCGCTCAGCCTCCTCAGTAGCTGGGACTACAGGCACGTACCACCACACCTAGCTAATTTTTTTTTTTTTTGGTAGAGATGATCTTGCCATGTTACCCAGGCTAGTCTTGAACTCTTGCCTCAAGCAGTCCTCCTAACTTAGCCTCCCAAAGTGCTAGGATTACAGGCATTAGCCACAGCACCCACCACCTTGTTCTGTTCTTTGAGAGCGACACAGAATGATGTACTCATCCTTCAGATATTTGAAAACATCTAACAACCTATCATTTCAGCATTTTCTTTCCTGGATCCGCTACATGGTTTCTTCAATTCCTCTAAGTGTGGTAGATTTTTAAGTTTTTGTGTCTCCTGGATCCAACACAGTTGTCACTATTTCCATGAAGTGCTGTAGAAATTGACCAGCTCATTCCCTTCTTCTCTCTATCCTGTGACCGTTTTAGGAACAAGGATACTGTTCCTAAGGCAGATGAACAGATTCTTACAGGAGCTCAATACAGTAATGACGAAAGAAGGAAGACAAAAAGGAGAAAAAGAAAAGGAAGGAACCACTTAAATAATATTTATGAAATCTTGATCCTTTTTATCCTGCTATGCCATGGACAAATGCTGATTCTTTCTTTAAAAAGTCTATATGGGCCGAATGCAGGGGCTTATGCCTGTAATCCCAGCATTTGGGGAGGCCAAGGTGGGAGGATCGCTTGAGCCCAGCAATTTGAGACCAGCCTGGGCAACATAGCGAGATCCCATCTCTAAAAAAAAATAATAATAATACAAAAATTAGCTGGGCCTGGTGGTGAGTGCCTGTAGTCCCAGCCACTCCAGAGGCTAAGATGGGAAGATGGCTTGAGCCCAGGAGAGGGAGGCTGCAGAGAGCTGTGATCATGCCACTACATTCCAGCCTGGGCGACAGAGCAACATCCTGTCTTGAAAAAAATAAATTATAATACAAATGAAAATTCTCTGTGTTTTAATGACTAAATATAAATGTCTCAAAGTGGGACACACACTAAAATATGGGACATGAAATATTTCATATATACCGCTAATAAAAATTATTTACTGTTTATGAGAAATTCATATTTAACTGGCCATCTGGGATTTTTCTTTGCTCCACATCTGGCAGCTGCAGGGGGTGGAACACAAGGAGATGCCGGCTAGTCTGCATCTTGAACCTGAGCCACCACATCGTCCACTTCATACATCATGGAAAAAACAATGATACAAACAGGATTCGAAATATAGAGTCACTTAAAATGGACGGTCACGTCTAATACATATGCCAGAACCATGATTTTGGGTATGAAGAAGTATATAGTTTTCATGCATGGGAAATGAGTATTCTATTTGCTCCCGTTAACAAAGATTAAACAAAATATTTCAATAATATGAATTTGGGCTGGGCGCGGTGGCTCACGCCTGTAAGCCTAGCACTTTGGGAGGCCGAGGTGGGTGGATCACGAGGTCAAGAGATTGAGACCATCCTGGTCAATATGGTGAAACCCTGTCTCGACTAAAAATACAAAAAATTAGCTGGGCACGGTGGCGCGTGCCTGTAGTCCCAGCTACTCAGGAGGCTGAGGGAGGAGAATTGCCTGAACCCAGGAGGCGGAGGTTGCGGTGAGCCGAGATTGCGCCATTGCACTCCAGCCTGGGCAACAAGAGCGAAACTCCGTCTCAAATAATAATAATAATTATATGAATTTGGAGGGAAGCCTGCCCCAAGTCTTTCATTTATAGGTTCACATATGCCTTCAATAAACACTACCTGGGGAAAAAAAGTCTATTTTTTACATTTTATTTTTATTTATTTATTGAGAGAGTCTTGCTCTGTCACCCGGACTGGAGTGCAGTGGGTGATCTCAGCTCACTGCAACCTCCGCCTCCTGGGTTCAAGTGATTCTCCTTCCTCAGCCTCCCGAATAGCTGCGATTACAGGAGCCCACCACCATGCCTGGCTAATTTTTGTATTTTTAGTAGAGATGGGGTTTTGCCGTGTTGGCCAGTCTGGTCTCGAACTCCTGACCTCAGGTGATCCACTCACCTCGACCTCCCAAAGTGTTGGGATTACAGGCATGAGCCACCACACCTGGCCTATTTTTTACATGTTAAATCAGGCAATTATAAAATATCAAACATCTATATTCCAATCACCCAGAATGGACAATTACTGACATTTTGTTATATTCACTTTGAGTCTTTTTTTTTTTTTTCTGATACAGGCTTGCTCTGTTACCCAGGCTAGAGTGCAGTGGCACAATCTCAGCTCACTGCAACCTCTGCCTCTCAGGTTCAAGCAATTTTCCTGCCTCAGCCTCCCAAGTAACTGGGATTACAGGCGTGCACCACCACTCCCAGCTAATTTTTGTATTTTTAGTAGGCTGGGTTTCACCATATTGGCTAGGCTGGTCTCCACCTCCTGACCTTGTGGATCCACAAGCCTCAATCTCCCAAAGTGCTCACTTTGAGTCTTTTAAAAATAACAGTTTACAAACAAGTAGTCTCGTTGGCTCCCCAGACAGTCCAGTTTCTCTCCTCCATGTTTCCCAGAGCAGGCAAGGATCATTATTTATTTGGTGTCTATACTTCTACTCTGAATTTCATACATGTACATTATATACATCCAAACACATATTAATAACATCTAAGCATATATTCATGTGCAAAGCACATTGCCTAGCACTGTTTAGTGAGTTTACATTTTTACATATATACAAAACACATGTGCTTATTATGTTTGATCCTAATTTTTGGTTAAATTGTTCTTTAAAGATGAGTGCAGCTGGGTGTGGTGGCTCACGCCTGAAATCCCAGCACTTTGGGAGACTGAGGCGGGCAGATCACCTGGAGTCAGGAGTTTGAGACCAGCCTGGCCAAGAGGGTGAAGCCCTATCTCTACTAAAAATACAAAATTAGCCGAGCATGGTGGCGGGTGCCTGTAATCCTGGCTACTTGGGAGGCTGAGGCAGAAGAATCGCTTGAACCCAGGAGGCAGAGGTTGCAGTGAGCCTAGATTACACCACTGCACTCCAGCCTGGGTGACAGATCCACAATCCATCTCAAAAAAAAAAAAGATGAATCCTCTGCTGCTGGGTACCAAGTACCAGCTTGGCTGGAGAGACCCCCACCCAGGCAACACTGAAGGAACTGAGAGGCAGACACCCAGATGGAATGGCAAAGTGGGACTATCCGAGGGGCCAGCAGCCTTCCAAGCTGAGAACTTCAGGGACTAACAGCATTCCAGGCTGAAGACCCTGAGCAAATTCGGATCCACGTATTTACTCTCTTCTGAACAGGTGATTATTATTAACAAACGGATTCTGTATTTTCTCATAACTCAAAAATTTACCAAGTAGGCAGCTGTTACCCACTTACCACTAATCACAGACAAACTAAAAGGTGTTCTCCACGAGGGAGCCACGGGGGCAGGGGCAGATATCGCAAAGAATTGTTGTAACCAGTGTGTGATATTTATACATTGTCCTGCCACTTTGGAATGCCTGAAGTGGTTTTCCACTTGGGGTGGGGGGGGCAGCTGGGTTTTTCTTGCCATAGTTCTTCCCAGGAAACAATATATTCTATCACACACTTAGCGTTCATCAATATTCATCTCAACAGCTGGGAATCTAATTCCCTATATTATAATTCATAGCCAAACACATAGCGATTACTTGTTTGCACCCAGCGTTCTAACTACAGGAAGGGAATGGGGGAAGTGGGTTTTTGTAAAAGCATGCGCTGAGGCGCACACCCCCCCACAGAGCTAAGCAATCTAGTCTGAGAGATAATACCCATCCTTGTCCAAGTAATGAGGAACAACCGGATAGCACATAATTGAAGCACCACATTTGATGATGTAGATCATTTAAGAAACATGGGAGGCCGGGTGCGGTGGCTCACACCTGTAATCGCAGCACTTTGGGAGGCTGAGGCGGGCAGATCACTAGGTCAGGAGTTCAAGACCAGCCTGATCAACATGGTCTCTACTAAAAATACAAAAATTAGCCAGGCGTGGTGGTACATGCCTGTAATCCCAGCTACTCAGGAGGCTGAGGTAGGAGAATAGTTTGAACCTGGGATGCCGAGGTTGCAGTGAGCTGAGATCATGCCATTGTAATTCAGCCTGGGTGATAGAGCAAGACTTTGTCTCAGAAAAAAAAGAAAATCCACATAAAACTTCTGACTTCCCTAAAACTTAACTAATAGTTGCCTATTGACCAGAAGTTTTCCCAAATATATGCTTGATTAGCACATATTTTGTATGCCATGTGTGTTATATACTATATTTGTAAAATAAAGCAAGCTAGAAAAAAGAAAATCATAAGGGCTAGTTGCGGTGGCTCACGACTGTAATCCCAGCACTTTGGGAGGCCAAGGAGGGAGGATCACCTTAGGTCAGAAGTTTGAGACCAGCCTGGCCAACATGGTGAAATCCCATCTCTACTAAAGATACAAAAATTAGCCAAGCATGGTGGCAGGTGCCTGTAACCCAGCTACTTGGGAGGCTGAGGCAGGAGAATTGCTTGACCCCAGAAGGTGGAGGTTGCAGTGAACTGAGAGCAAGCCATTGCACAGCAGCCTGGGTAACAAGAGTGAAACTCTGTCTCAAAAAAATGAAAGAAAGAGAAACGGAAGGAAGCAAGGGAGAGAGAAAGGAGAAAGGAAGGAAGAGAAGGAAGAAAGAAAAAGGAAATAAAGAGAAAACATTTATAAGGAAGAAAAAGGATGAAGCAGATCATCATAAAAGCCTCCATCCTCGTCGTCTTTAGGTTGAGTAGACTGTGGAGGAGGAGGAAGGGGAGGAGCTGGTCTTGCTGTGTGAGGGGTGGCAGACATGGAAGAAAAATCCATGTATAAATAGATGGATGCAGTTCAAACTCTTGTTCAAGCATGAGCTGTAATGACCTTGTTGGTTTCTTGAGTAACCATTTTTGGCTTAAAATCTATTATATCTAATATTGGCAAAGCCATCCCAGCTCTTCCAAGTGTATTCTATATAGTTTTCAGCTACATTTAGTTCCTACCTTGGGGATTGAGCTAATATCTAAAATGTAAAAGAATCCGGTTTGACTGGATACTAACTTATCCAGTGCTTTTCCCTGTGGCCAAACCTACTGCTAGAGATGCCCAAAGGTGGCATCAGGGGAAATCCCTCAAGGGGCTATCCCAGACCATCTTGAGATGGCATCAGTTGGGAATTCAAAGATAGAAGCACCTGAAGGATGCCTCTAGGATAATTCATTCCAAGTATTTATTAGGGGGAACTTACGTCCAGAGTCCTCATGATGGACAGCGAGAAAGGAGATGTGACACCAGGCCTGTCTTTAACAAGAGGGTCGGATTTTGGGGTTGGTGTGAGTATTCAGGGAAACTGACTGAAGGAGGAGCTAGTTTCCACGTGTTCAGGTATTCAGGGAAACTGACTGAGGGAGGAGCTAGTTTCCACGTGTTCAGCAGCATGTTGATACTCCACCTCCTGTGTTCAAGCGATCCTCCTGCCTCAGCCTCCATAGTAGCTGGGGTTACAGGCATGCGCCACCATGCCCAGTTAATTTTGTATTTTTAGTAGAGACGTGGTTTCTCCATGTTGATCAGGCTGGTCTCGAACTCCCGACCTCAGATGATTCACCCGCCTTGGTCTCCCAAAGTGCCGGGATTACAGTTGTAATAAACGTCTCCCTCTTTGTCCCACGAAACCCAATTTCTCACCACAATTCTGTAGGGCAACATCCTATACAGCTTGGTCCATGCCTTGGAATGCTCCCTGGCACCTTCTAGAGCCCAGAGTACCTCTAATCTACAGTGGAGAATAGACAGCTGGACGGGTCACAGAGCAGTCAAGAACCACTGTGTTTTCTCAGTCAGGAAAAAGGAAAGTAGCGGGAGGCCCAGTGCTGTGGCTCACGCCTGTAATTCCAGCATTCTGGGAAGCCCAAGGCAGGCAGATCACCTGAGGTCAGGAGTTCAAGACCAGCCTGGCCAACTTGGCAAAACCCCGTCTCTACTAAAAATACAAAACTTAGCTATGCATGGTGACAGGCACCTGTAATCCTAGATGTTTGAGAGGCTGAGGCAGGAGACTCACTTGAACCCAGGAGGCAGAGATTGCAGTGAGCCAAGATCACGCCATTGCACTCTCCAGCCTGGATGACAGAATGAGACTGTTTCAAAAAAAAAAAAAGGCTGGGAGCCAGGCTCTCCTGGCTCGGTGGCTCACACCTGTAATCCCAGCACTTTGGGGGGCCAAGGCAGGAGGCTGACAAGGTCAGGAGTTCAAGACCAGCCTGGGTGGCAAAGTAAATATATATATATGACTACAAAACACTAAATGATCCTTCAGCATAGTTTAATTACTTCTTGGTTAAAAAGTTATATTTTGTAAAAACAACAACAAATTATCTTTGGTGTTCTATGTTCACCATTTGGGTGACAAGTACACTAGGAACCGAATCCACACCAGTAAGCAATATATTAATAAAACGGACAAATACAGGTACCCCTGAATCTAAAAAATAAAAATGTAGTTTTGAAATAAAAATTTGTTGCATTAGCACTGTTTTATAAAAAAAATTTTTTTAAGTAAAAAAAATAAAAATTTGTATCAAGGTATTTTGTGTAAAAAAAAATGTAATGTTAAATTATGTAACATAACCATTTCACTTAAAACTTCTGCAATAGGCCGGGCGCGGTGGCTCACGCCTGTAATCCCAGCACTTTGGGAGGCCGAGGCGGGTGAATCACGAGGTCAAGAGATTGAGACCATCCTGGTCAACATGGTGAAACCCTGTCTCTACTAAAAATACAAAAAATTAGCTGGGCATGGTGGTGCGTGCCTGTAATCCCAGCTGCTCAGGAGGCTGAGGCAGGAGAATTGCCTGATCCCAGGAGGCGGAGGTTGCAGTGAGCCGAGATCGCACAACAAAAGCGAAACTCTGTCTCAAAAACAAAACAAAACAAAAAAACTTCTGCAATATAATTTCATTTTGTAGACTTATTTAAAATTAAATTAGAATTTAATAGAAAAACTAATTAAAATCAAGCTGATCACAGTGGCTCACACCTGTAATCCCCGTACTTTAGGAGTCTGAGGAGGGTATATCATCTGAGGTTGGGAGTTCGAGACCAGCCTGACCAACATGGAGAAACCATGTCTCCACTAAAAATACAAAATTAGCTGGGCGTGGTGGCACATGCCTGTCATCCTAGCTATTCGGGAGGCTGAGGCAGGAGGATCACTTGAACCTGGGAGGCAAAGGTTGTGGAGAACCAAGATCATGCCATTGCACTCCAGGGCAACAAGAGAAAAACTCCATCTCAAAAAAAGAAAGAAAGAAAGAAAACCTAACTAAAATCCTGATAAGCAGAAATTGAGGTGTACAATGATGTGTAAAGGTCTCCCTCTCTGTCCCAGGAAACCGAATTTCTCACCACAAAACCATCCACTCCTTACACCTGTGGCCTTTAAATGCTTTTAATAAAGAACAGGCGGGGAAGGAGAAAGTATGACAATTCATGGTAGCAAAGAGGATGGGCATTAAAAGATAGGGACCTAAAACCCAGGACTGTCACCGCTGACTCCCCTCACCCGAGACCACACCCCACAGCTTCTCAGCGCCCCCTCCTCCACTTCATCTACTCCTCAGCATTTCTGTCTGCCTCCCGGGCCAGCCTGTCTGTCTGCAAGGCCTTGGCCAGTCTCTCCCTGGCTTTCTTCACCTTCCTGGCCTATCTCCGGATATCTGCATGAGTCACCAATTGGCCAGAGAGGGGCGGTGGGAGCTGACAACCCACTCCTTGGGGAGCCCCTGCCCCAGCTGGAAGCTGCCCAGGGGTGGGCTCAGGCTGGCTGTGTGTGAGCTCAGCACCAGCTCTGTCCAGAGATTCCCCAGCCATGCCTGGAGCAAGAACACTTAAGATGCTGTCCAAATCCGGTGGACTTGAAGGACCTTCTCCTTGGCTGCTGCAGGAGGGCAGGGCCTGCATTCTCTGGTAGGCACAGAGTTCCAGGTGCTCCTCGCCTTTTTTGTGTCTGACCTGGTTGTCAGGATGAGACCTGATCCTTGTCACTGGCTTCTGGAAGATACAGCTAGAGAGTCTCATGGGGAGGGCAGCCCTGGCAGCTCGTCTCCAACGGGCCTTGGCCACATGGATATCTCGTTTCTTCTGTAAGGCCCAGGGTATCATGCTTCTTTTGAGCTTCCCCTTTCAAAAGAAAAGAAAATGTGAAATTTCATCCAAATGGAAGCTGGAGAAGATGAGCTCTGGGAGCTTCTCTCAGCTCAGTGCAGTCTCCCCACCAGCCTCTCTTTCTGGGGAAATGGGCCTCAAATGGCACCATCCAACCTCAGCACCTGCCGTGTTTCTTTCTTTTTTTCTTTTTTTTTTTTTTTTGACACGGAGTTTCGCTCTTGTTACCCAGGCTGGAGTGCAATGGCTCGGCTCACCACAACCTCTGCCTCCTGGGTTCAGGCAGTTCTCCTGCCTCAGCCTCCCGAGTAGCTGGGATTACAAGCACGTGCCACCATGCCCAGCTAATTTTTTGTATTTTGAGTAGAGACGGGGTTTCACCATGTTGACCAGGATGGTCTCGATCTCTTTACCTCGTGATCCACCTGCCTCGGCCTCCCAAAGTGCTGGGATTACAGGCTTGAGCCACCGCGCCCGGCTTTGCAGTTTCTTAAACTCAGATCTCTGGACCTGAACCCAGGGAAGTCTAGGGTGGACCCAAGAGTCTGCATTTCTCCGTGTGATGCTGATGCTGCTGGCAGAGGTGCCAGGCATCGACACTGAGTCCTGGGACCTCACTGGGCTTATGTGAGCCCAAGTGGCTGAGCTAATGTGGCTCAAGATTATGACCCAGGGCCAATTCCAGACTGTATTCCTGCTCACCCTCCTCAGAGGACACCCCTCTCTTCTCTTCCCTGCCACTGTCAGCTACACACATGCTGGTGCCTCCTGACCCATCCCCAACAGGACACTGGCATCCCAGAGTCCCCTGTTACCCAAGACCTCAGATTTCTCTGTATCCCTTTTTGCTGTGCTTTGGGACACATCATTTTCATAGCTCCTTGACTCCCTGGTCTCCAAAGAAATCATGCACTTGCCAATCCTTAAATACTCACTGCCACACCCAGATCCCATCTTCACCTGAACTCCTCCTGCTCATGAAGAAAAGCCTCAGAACACCATGTTTACTTTCTGTTTCTAATAAGCTCAAGTAACTAGAATTATACAATGAGAGACTCTGATCTCATGAAGCTGTTTCAACTGCAAACCTCATCAGTGCACTTTTCATTCTAAAGTCTTCATTTCTGTCCTCATTTCATTTCTGTTGTCCTGGCATAAAGGTTAATACTACCCCTTACACTACCCAAGATGTTCCAGTTTGGAGGGAAAATTATTTAGTCCCCTTAGTTACAGGGCACCTATGATGTGCCATCCTGTGCAGAAAGACCCCTGCTCCGGAAATAAACTTCACCAAGTCACCACTCCGTTGATTTTCATCTTGGTGAGAGGAAGACATAATAAGCACACTAAAAACAAATTTCTGATTGTTGGAAACATATGCTTGATGCCAAAAAACAAAGTCAGCACTGAGACAAAGGATCTCTCAGTGAGGCAATCTTTACTTTCTGCAGAAAGGGTACGCTCGTGGCAAGATGGCTAACAGGAGTACCCATTCTGTAGAAAGTAAAAATTGCCTTGCTGAGAGATCCACTGTCTCAGTGCTGACTTTGCTTTGTAGCACTGAGCATCTGTTTCCAATGGGATAGAATATCAGACATATTTAAGTTCCATAATGAACAAGAAGAGAGAGACGGGGATCGCGGGAGGAGAAAGGGGGAAACAGAAAAGAAAGAAATTCACTACAGTGAATCGTGACAGTGAGTTTAGGGAAGGACTAACTAATCATGAAATTTTACCAGAGAACTATTTTTTTTAAAGGGACCAAGCAATTTCTGGTTCAAGAACTTTCCAGAGAGGGAGACAATTTGAAGAATGCAAGGCTAAATAATACTTCTTCCCCTTCCTAGTGATGTTGGATTTTTTAAAAAAAAAATCAGAGCTATTATCCCCATATAGCATCATGGGGAAAGATGAGAATACCTTAAATATTATTCAACAAATATTAACACCTAGGGTATAACTTTCCACCACGTAGCGTCTAGTTTTAAGAACAACTCCCTGCTAACTGTAAAGATGTTTTACAGCAAGAAAAAGGACACAAATGGACTTTCTTGTGGTCAGTAAGGATCCCGTACTCACCAGAACAGGTGGGCTTGGAAAAGATCTGGACCCAGGCTCTCCCATGGCTGTAGAGTTTCTCCTGCTGACCCCTCTCCTGAGATGCAGACAGGCCCTGGCTTGCTGGAAAATGCGGTGACTTCTGCCTCTGGCTCCCCTTTTATATAGGGAAGGAGTGATAATGCAATTAGCGGCTAATCCACAGGGAACACCCTGTCTCCACCCATTGGATTTGAGGCATTTCTAAATCCTTATATGGAATCCATTGTGGTATTACCAACATAGAGTGTTAGTAGAAAATAATAGGTTTTTGTGGAGGGAGTGTGGTACTTGCAGTTAATATTGGCATTTTGGATATGTTTCCCTTTTCTCCCATTCTTTCAAACATCTTTGAAAGCATTCTATAGAAATAGGAATGGAATTGTCTATGAACATAAATTTTCATGTCGCATTTGATTTAGTAACAAAAATTAAAGACAATTTAAATGTTCATCCAGGCTGGGTGTGGTGGCTCACATGTTTAATCCCATCACTTTGAGAGGCCAAGGTGGGTGGATCACCTGAGGTCAGGAGTTTGAGACGAACTTGGCCAACATGGTGAAACGCTGTCTCTACTAAAAATACAAAAATTAGCCAGGTGTGGACGCAGCTGACCTGTAATCCCAGCTGCTTGGAAGGCTGAGACAGGAGAATTGCTTGAACCTGGGAGGCAAAGGTTACAGTGAGCCAAGATTCCACCATTGTACACCAGCTTGGGGGACAAGAGTAAAACTCCATCTAAAAAAATATATTCATACAGCAAATAATGCCCAACGGTCTTCCAGTGTTGCTCACTGCATGCCTTGGTTGGGGTATCTGCTTTTGAACTTTCACTTTAGTAATCTAGCCTTTTGTGAGGTTCAATCTCACCTTATTCTCTCCCTTTTGTTGTTGTTGTTTGTTTTCTGAGATAGGGTCTTTGAGACAGTATGTTGTCCAGACTAAAGTGCAGTGGCTCAGTCACCGCTCACTGCAGCCTGCACATTCTGGGCTCAAGTGATCTCCCACCTCAGCTTCTGAGTAGCTGGGACCACAGGCACATCCCACTCCACCCAGCTAATTTTTTTTTTTTTTTTTTGCACACAGGGTTTGCCATGTTGCCCAGGCTGGTCTCACTACCAGGCTCAAGTGATCCTCCTTCCTCCGTTTCTCAAAGTGCTGTGATTACAGGTGTGAGCCACCTCATCCAGCCAATTTCTTACATTCTTAATTGCAGTTCTAACTACAAGACAGAATAGCTTTAATTAAATAATAGGTTGAAAAGCAGCTACACACTGAGTGAGAGACAATCTTTCTTTTCAGTACCGTAAAATGCAAAATGGTAAGGAGAAAATTATAACCTGGATCACATTAGATTATATTAAGATGAAAAAGAGCTCCTATTAATCAAGGTGGACATGGTGGCTCACACCTGTAATCCCAGCACTTTGGGAGGCTGAGGTGGGCAGATCACCTGAGGTCAGGAGTTTCAGATCAGCCTGGCCAACATGGTGAAACCCTCTCTCTACTAAAAACACAAAAATTAGTTGGGTATGGTGGTGGGTGCCTGTAATCCGAGCTACTCGGGAGGTTGAGGCAGGAGAATCGTGAACCTGGGAGGCGGAGGTTGCAGTGAGCTGAGATTGCACCACTGTACTCCAGCCTGGATGACCAAATGAGACTCCATCTCAAAAAAAAGAAAAAAGAAAAGAAAAGAAAAATACCTAATAAATAAACAGGCAAAAAAGAAATACAATCTCAACAGCCTTGGTCTTTGTGGTGACTACTCAGTTTTTTCTTATTATTTTTCGTGACCTTTGCCTTGTATAAATCTTCCTGGTTTCATCCTTGGGGATGCAGACAGATGCTAGCTATTTTCCCAATTTGGACCTGGGGCTAGGAAGTTTAAGACACAATTAGCTTACATATTTAATTACATCATGGCAATTTCAATGTATGGTGCCCCCCACCCCCCACCCCAGCAAACTGCAATATACAGATACGATATACTGCACTCCAGCCTGGGTGACAGAGTGAGACTCCATCTAAAAAAGAAAAAGATCTCCTATTAATCAAAATGCAGCTAGAAACTGGTGTTGGAAAATCATAGTTGGAGAAGATATTTGCATGACATGCATCCACAATACAGAACAGAAGCATGTCTGTCAAATGAGAAAAATAATACTGAAAATTTGCATACAAGATGCATGAAAAACTTCAGTAGGCACTACTGAAAAAAAAATAAATGGTCAGGACAATTCTGAACACATCTCTAAATGCTGTTTAGCTTCCAAGAAACACTCATAAAAATCACAGTGAGATACTCATGCACACTTCTGTTGGTCTAAAATGAAAAAACAGCAATGCCAAGTGCAGACAAGGCTGTGGAGACATCGCACCATTCATGTATAGCCAGAGAGAGTTTAAATGGAAAGAAATGTACTTTGTTTCCCAACCTGGAAGTACATTGGAATCTCCCGGAGACTTTGAAAACCTAATGGCAGCACCTGTCCCTATACATTTTTATTCCACTGATGTTGGATGTACCCTGGGCTATAGGAATTTTAAAATCCCTAAAGACCCAAAGAACAGCTCTAGATGACACACTACTTCCTGGGTTGGTTTGGAGTCTGTGGTTCTGAACCTTGGTTTACATAAAACACACCTGGGTACCTTCCAGACCAGTGTCTCGGGATGCCTATGAGAGGGACCAGAAAATCAGATTTACTTATTTATTTATTTTTTGAGACAGAATCTTGCTCTGTTGCCCAGGCTGGAGAGCAGTGGCGTCACCTCAGGTCACTGCAAGCTCCGCCTCCTGGGTTAAGAGATTCTCCTGCCTCAGCCTCCCAAGTAGCTAAGTTTTCAGGCATGCGTCTCCACACCTGGCTAATTTTTGTATTCTTAGGAGAGACGGGTTTCACCATGTTGGCCAGGCTGGTCTTGAATTCCTGACCTCAAGAGATCTGCCTGCCTCAGCCGCCCAAACACAATTTATTATTATAATAATTATTATTATTTGATAAGAACTCCAAGTCCTGGCTGGTTGGGGTGGCTCACGCCTGTAATCCCAGCACTTTGGGAGTCAGAGGCGGGTGGATCATTTGAGGTCAGGAGTTTGCAGCCAGCCTCTCCAACTAAGGGAAACCCCATCTCTCCTAAAAATACAAAAATTAGGCTGGGCATGGTGGCTCACACCTATAATTCCAGCACTTTGGGAGGCCAAGGGGGGCAGATCACTTGAGGTCAGGAGTTCAAGATCAGCCTGGGCAACAGGGTGAAATCCCATCTTTACTAAAAATACAAAAATTAGCCCAGTGTGGTGGTGCATGCCTGTAATCTCAGCTATGATGGAGGCTGAGACAGGAGAATCGCTTGAACCCAGGAGGCAGAAGTTGTGGTGATCTCAGATTGCACCGCTGCACTCCGGGGGTGACAGAGTGAGACTCTGTCTCAAAAAAGAAAAAAACATACTTGGGCATGGTGGCAGGCACCTATAATGACAGTGACTTGTTAGACTGAGGCAGGAGAATCACTTAAACCCAGGAGGTAGAATTTGTGGTGACCTGAGATCACGCCACTGCACTCCAGCCTGGATGACAGAGCGAGACTCCATCTCAAGAAAAAAACACTCCAAATCCTTCAACTGTAAGTCAAGAAGAGGGACATTTCTGTCATTTCAGGGGGTCTCAGGCTTGTGGCACATTTGAATTTCCTTTTAAAATTTAAAAGGATTGGTGTCTGGACCCCGGCAGGGTCATTTGTATGTGTATAATAGAGTTTGCTGAGATGCCGAGGAAGGCATCAGTACATTGAAATTACCCTACGTCATCAAATATGTAAGCTAACTGTGTCTTAAAGTTCCTAGCCCTGGGTCCAAATTGGCAAAATAGCCAGCATTGGACTGCATCCCAGAAGACCAAACCAGGAAGATTTATACAAGGAAAGGATCATGAAAAATAATAATAAAAAAATGGAGTGTCACTGCAGAGACCAAAGCTATTGAGATTGTATTTTTTGTCTGTTTATTGATTAGTGTTGGGTTTTTTAAAATTTGTTTGTTGTGAGAAGGACTCTCTCTCTGTTGCCCAGGCTGAAGTGCAATGGCATGATCTCAGATCACCACAACCTCTGCCTCCCAGGTTCACGGGATTCTTGTACTTCAGCCTCCTGAGCAGCTGGGATTACAGGTGCCCACCACCATGCCAGGCTAATTTTTGTATTTTAGTAGAGATGGGGTTTCACCATGTCGGCCAGGCTGGTCTTGAACTCCTGGCCTCAAGTGATCCACCTGCCTCAGCCTCCCAAACTGCTGCGATTAGAGACACAAGCCACCACACCCGTCTGTGTTTGGTTTTTAATTGTATATATTTAAGGCATTCATGATGTTTTGATACACATATGTCATGAAATGATTACTACAATGAAGCAAAGGAACATATCCATCTCCTGATGTATTACGTTTGTGTATGTGTGTGTGGAAAGAGTGGCTGAAATCTACTCTTTAGGCAGATTCGCAGTATACAAGGCAATAGTCCTCAGGTTGCTTGTATGAGGTAGAAGCTTGCTACAGATTGTCCATAAGCAGGAGTTTATTCTCATTCTCTTTTCCTCAATGGTTATTGCCATAGAACTTACACAGAGCAAGGTGCAAAAAATCAGACACATACGTCTTCACGAACTTTCACTAACTGAACACACCCAGGTACCCAGCGCTGAAATCAATGAACAGAATAGTGGCTTCATCCACAGGTGCCTTTTCCTGCCACCCTGTGCTGCCCCCACAAGGGCACCCTGTATTGTAACAGCACCTAGGATTTATTTTGCTGGTTTTCTTTTCACGTGTAGGGAACACATGGTATGCACTGTCTTGGGTGTGGATCAACCTCAGCTTTGGTGATCAGTGCTTAAGGTCATGACGGTTGTCATCTGTGAGTTCTGATTGCTGTGAGGAGATCCAATAGGTGCAGGTGCCCCAGTATTTATTCATTCACCTGCTTCATTGATTGGTTTCCAGCAAGAACTATTGTGACTGCAGGTTCTGTGACCCTGAGAACATGAAATTGGTGGGCATGTGTGCACAGTGTTGAGATGAATGCTGTGTGCAAG